TCCCTGCTGTGGCTCGACACCGATACTTTTTGTGCTCTCTGAAGAGGGAATAAAACTGCTGGATCCTGTTTGCAGCATGTCCACAGAGAGGGAGGACGAAGCTGGAAGAATTTGCAGAGAGCAATTTTAAATATTATTACTTTAGGCTCATAAAAAGGAAATCCTTATATACATATATATGGTACAGACATTTTATATGGGTATTGGTGCATTGCTGAGTGTAGACTCCATTACATTTATAGGGCTCCTAGAAAAAATGGTGGGAAAATGCCTGAAATTCTAAATATCCTGTTTTCACTTGATCTTTGTTGTCTTCATCATCATAATGATTAGCACTTTTCCAAAGCTCTTCCTCCAAAGAACCATCGAAACTTTGCTAATTAGGCTTTATACCATGGTTAAACACTGTAGATCTGTGCTGCTCTGTATTTTTCCATTTAACTCCTCAAGAAGGAGAGACTAATGAAATGTAATAGATTTCAAACAATAATGCCAGAACCATGAGCTTTCTTGGTCTCAGGACAGAATCCTACGGCTCTTTCTCAGACAAAAATGTCTAGTTAATCTTTGGCAATTGTTTCTGAATAAAGCCAAGAAGATTTGACCCCAAATTCAAGGGAAATTATTTACAGCTGCCAAGGACATTCTGCAGTTGAACTGGTGATTGTGTCTCCCATATATTTGCTACCCTTATTACAAGTAACATGAATAATTAAAAGACAAAAGCAGGTGGAGAAATAGGAAGCACAAAGGCTACAACCCAGGGTTAAGCTGTGAATTTACATGTGTGCAAAACAGAAGTAATTTCAGAGAGAAAGAGTTTTTAGACAAGCAGAAGGATAAAAACTACCTCTGCACTTACACAGACCTTACAACAAAGCAGGAATCAAAAAATAAAACAGCATTGACAGAAAATGGCCTATTCGTTTAATTGCACTGAGCGGTGCAAATTCTCCTGCAACTTCCCATGAAGTGGCTTCTACAGCAGCAAAACAAATATTGCCCCTTTCATTTGTTCCCCTGTTCAGTCAGAGCTTTGCATCCGAGGAGGTGGGATGGGGATGAACTGGAGAACAAGGAGGGATATTTGATCAACTTCCATCCATGGCTGACATAAGGCATGAAGGAGCCACGAGGGCAGACACAACTACTGCCTCTTCGTAGTGAACCCCTTGATCCTGCTGACAGCTCTCAGTGGGAACCTTTGTCTGGGCTTCTCGCCAAAGGAGGAGGGAATCGACAGTTCTGTTGCTCTTACAATCGGCCAGATTTTTGCCTGCAACCATCTTGGGTAGTGACAGTCTTTGAACTTCAAGGGAAAGTGGCTTTTCCAGCAATGACATTGTATTTCTCAGCCAAGGCCACGGTTGTAGTATAATGAAAGCAGGGCACATTATCATCTGGAGCACACATGCAACACATGTTGTATTTTTAGCCTGGGAAACCATTCCCTGAAAGGATTCCACCAAAACCTCTTGAGTTCTTCACCTCTCTGCTAGCAAGACATCTCCTGCCTCCACACTGAACTGCAATGTGAGCCTCAGAATAAATTACATGTTCCTGCCCCACTGGTCCCAGGGTATCCAGAGAAGCTTACATTTGAAGTCTTTATTTGGCTGCTTATTCAATTGTGAACCTTTCCCATGATATGAAAAACACGAGGATCCAGGAAAAACAGCAATGGCCCTCAGAGGTGCAGCTGAAACCAGCTTGGTTCTCTGCACCAGAGCTACCTGCTTCTATTTTCCAGGTTATAGAAGTTTCCAAGTTAATCTTAGCACTGTGAGAAGTGGCCTGGTAGCAGCCAGCTGTTTTTAAAGTTGCTCACTGGTGTGCTTGTGCTCCCAAGTGGAAAACTGGGTCAGCTTTGGATACTACAAACAAGGGGAAGCTACAAAACCCATATCAAGGGGACTGCAGGAGCCAGCCTTGTCACACTAATGGGTGTGATAGCTGTGCTATCAAATGCTTTTGCAGGCATTGCCAGGAATGCAGGTTATAGCCTAGACTTAAGGCTTATGCAAAGTCATTAAGTCCCTTTAGTTCCAGGGGATATCAACCTGCACGCTGCAGGGCATAAGCTGATTGCCCTGGGGGGTCAGGGAGGAAGGCTCCCCTCTCTGAGAGCACTGCACAGTTGGCTGGGGGCACTCCCGGGGCTTTGTCACTTTCCTGCTGCATCAGGCAAATTTAGGTGAGGGCTGCAGAGAGGCACAACACCTGATGGGGCCCAAACTGAGATGGGTACGACAGCACCCACTGCTCTTTGCAGGGATGGGTTTGGGATGCAGTGGAGTCTAAGGCCCTAGCATGAGGGGTGTAGCACTGGAGGGAGGGTGAGGGTAGCACGAGTGGGAGTTTAATACAGGAATAGATCCATTGGTGGGTAGAAAAAGGTGTCAGTTCACTTTGGGACACCCTAAAATGTTGATCTCCACACACCTGAGGCAAGGAAAGACCTGTCCTGCTGGCAAGCTTCCTATGTGCTGTGGCCAGCTAGGAGACAGGCACCAATGATAAGTTTCCTTTGCAATTGTTTGATCTAAATGTGATAGTTTGATCTAAATGTGATACTTTGAACCTTTCTTTTCTGCTACTAAGTGCACTTGCTTATTGGACACTTCCCATCACAACTAAGAACACATCAGTTTTCTGAAGTTCCAAAATACTCAGTGAAGAGCCACCTCTACTTCTCCTGACTCCTGCATTTCTTCCCCTCTGCTGCCAGGTGTGTTGGCCTAGGAGGGACCTCTGATACAAAAAAAAAAAAATCCCAACAACCTGATCTGAATATATGTTGATTTAAAAATCACCTTTTTTAAAAAAAAAAAAAAAAAGTAAAAAGTTTCAAGAATGTGCAAAAGCACTTCAGAGCATTGTTCAAGGGAGCTGCAGCCTGGTGTGTGATCACCTGAGTGTTGTGGGACCCAAACTGGTCTTGTCATGTTGCCTATTTCTCTAGCCCAACTCAGCACGAGGTTTAAGCATATCATTTAACTCTATGTGCATGTCAGAAAAGTTGCTTCAATACAAGCTCATGTCAGGGGGGACAGGCTGCTGAACTGAGGTGTCTGGTTGTTGCTACAAACTGCTGCAGCAGAGCTCTTTGGATTTCATATTGACAAAGTAAGGAATACTTCACCATACAACACCTTATGGCAGGCACATTTCTACTACAGTATCTTGCTGAGTAAAAAAGTATCAATAAAAGTTACTGTTCAGACAACACTGATATGTGTATCAGTGAGAACCTACTGTAATTAAAAACAAA